GCTAGCCCCCGGCCTCTGCTCACTCTAGGCCGCCGTGTGTGACGCTGTTTCTTTGTGAAAGCAAAACTACTTTGTTTGGTCTTCCAAAAATGGACACGACTAGAAATCAGTGGTTAAGTTGTATTTACAACACTGCTCCAGAACACCAACCCAAATATTCAGATGTATATTTGTTTCAGAAAGGCGGGGCATAGAGGAGAAACAATAATGTACAGTATGTGGAAAATAATGTGTTTTTTTAACCTTAAACCACATAAACACATTTCATTACACCAAATACACCAAATAATGTTATTTTTAGCAGCATCATATGACCCCTTTAATGTTAATGTTGAACTGAGACTAGTTTGCACAATGTAGAATTGAAATGGTTTAATAACAGTGTTGCATTATGGTCACACCTGAATTGGTTACAAAATAAATGAAGGATGGTAAAATATGAATAGTTAATTGTACCCAGCATGTATGTAAATTGTTACCTAAGAGAGAGAGCGATAGAAGAGAGCCCCAGTGAAGAAAGAGAGCTGACCAGCCATGAAAAGAGACAGCGCAACAGTTACAATCTTTCTTCTTACTAAAATGCTACTGTTAGACTACTGTACATGAAGAACATAAAGGATCGTTATAATAATCTTTATTTCATTTATATCTTTCCCAAATTGTATTAATGCTATTGTCTGTTATGTGTATCTTTGTACTTATTTTTACAAATAAAGATAAAATAGATTAAAAATAATTGTGATATACATCGTTACATGAAACGTGTGACTCTGGGTGGTAAGCACTGGATAACTGATGATTTATGCCAACAGAATCGGTTCAAACATTCTTGAAGTAAAATTTGTACCTTGGTCTATTTGGATTTTTTTTTTGGCAGGCCAAAAGTGAAACAGCTCTTTCTCAGCTGCTTTGGCTTTCAGATTGCGTAATGCTTCAGGGAAGCGTGTTGCAGAAAAACAGAGAAAACATTTCACCAGCAAAACATACACAATAGAAATTACGTGACCTCGTATAACGTGACAGTTGGACATTTGTTTGTTATTCCAGCAAGATCCAATTGAAATCTAGCAAACCTTTCTCCTCTGTGGGAGTCAGAGAGGAAATCAGAATATGCTGTTCAACCACACCTCATCTGTGAATGCATCCTGTCAGACATAAGAGCGAAGAATGGAGTTGGAGAGCAGCTGTGAAAATGTTGAAAACTGTGATATTAAGGATAAAAATGTACCTCGAACACCGAGTCGCATCCAGGATGAAGGAAAAGCTCAAAAGCGCAGTAAGCAGAATGTTTTATTTGAAACAGAAATTAATGTTTGGGGAATCTCAAAAGTTTTTGCTTTTATATTAAATGTATCATACTGGAGGTGCTTTTTCTGTTGACCTTTTCAACTTGTTTTTCAACTTGTTTGGGAATTTATTTATTTTTTAATAATATTCAGTGCATCAATTGCTATTTGTGTGTTTTGGTCGTGTTTGTCAGGAGGAAGTAGATATTTGAGGTGGATCACAGTGGGTCTCGGGGTTATTTGTGTTCTTCTGCTGGTCTTCATCATACTGAAGCACATCACCATCACAGCAGAGAGAGACCTGATAAAGAGTTACAAGAACACAGTTGAAGAGTTCAATCAAACCATCAACAGCTTACAGGACAGTTACACTGATCTAATGACTGAAAAACACCAACTGCAGGACAACTTCAACTCTTTGAGTCAGAAAAAACTGGAGCTGGAGACCAGAATCAAAGATCTCACTGATGAGAAAGACCAGTTACAGAGAGATTTTGACTCTTTGAATAAAAAGGGCACAGTTTGTTTTTTCATGTCCACTGAGTTGAAGAGCTGGTCTGACTGCAGACAGTACTGCAGGGATCGTGGTGCTGATCTGGTCATTATCAACACTGAAGAGAAGCAGGTGAGTTTGTGTGAGTGTCTGTTAATGAATGAGAGCAATCACACTTATTCCTGTTTTTATTCACACAGAGGTGCATATCTTCATTAGTCAGTGAGAGAGTGTGGATTGGTTTGTCTGACACAGAAAACGAGGGCATCATGAAATGGGTGGATAATTCACCACTGAAACAAGGGTAAGAGCTAAAAATCACTGAGTATTCATTTGTTTTAGACTTTTTGATTCTCATTATAAAATCACAACCTTCAGTTGTTTTAGTCTTTTTGATTCTCATTATAAAATCACAACCTTCAGAAAACAGCAGAAGAGAAAACTCTTCCACAAACAACACAATCACAATTAAAGACATTTTAAATACTGTCAAGAAAACTCTTCTTCTCTCGTTTACTTTTCACTTCTGCTCCAGCTTCTGTACTACTTTAGCTTACTCTCAAAACGTGCTATTATTCTGAGTATTGTTGATTCATAAATTTGTGTTTCTGAAAAACTGAACCTCTGATACATGTTGTTCAGGTTTTGGTTCAAAGGTGAGCCAAACAACTCCAATGGAAATGAGGACTGTATTGAACTGAATTATAATAGAGAGGAGACGGGATGGTCACCGCTGAACAGCTGGAATGATTACCCATGCTCTGAGAAGAAAAAGGGGATTTGTGAGAAATAGGGTTCATCCCGTCTTGAGGTTTTGCTTCTGTTATCTAATATAATCATTCTTATTGTCAACACACAAGTTCTGATTGAGGTTCCTACCTTTTAAAAAAAACAATCAGCTGATCTGAAATTTGTTCGAAGGAAAATGTCAAAGTGTCATTATTTTCGTATTGCTATAATAACCTTTGTTTCACATGATGTGAATTCAGGACACAAAACCTCTGATGTGTTCATGTTTTGCTCCATCACAAGCAGCTCTATATTAATATGATCCTATTCTAACTGCTATCTTGAGTCTCATTTGTTGGTCTGAAGTGTTGAGGAGACAATCACAGTAAACTACAGAAGTCTAAAGTGTCCAGGTTGTTATTCTGATGTTGAGTGTCTGTGAAACTACTTTTGAGTTTAATTGTTTTCTGTTTGAATAAAATATTCAATTACTATCATTACCAGAGTAAACTTGACATTTTTGTTTTCTTTTCACACTTCATTATTGTGTACCTGCTTTATTGCTCGGTTTCCTCCAGTCCAGCAGGATGCAGCAGAGTCTGGTTGTGTTTTTCTCTTTACACACCTCTCACATGTTTTTATCCTCCGCTCCACATCCAAGGACATTTTTGGCCAATAGAATCTTGACCTGACAAGGACATTTGTACGCTCGATTCCTAAATGGCCCATTTCATCATGGAGGCTGTGGAGAACAATGGGCCGCAAAACTTCAGGAAGTACGAGCTGGAATGCTGTCTGGCCATTGCACAGGCGCGTCCGGTACAAGAGCCCATCCCTAATTTGAAGGCGATTCCATTCCTTAAGAATCAACTGAAGATTAGGATAATCAGAGACGAAGACAAACATCAGAGCTAACATTTTTTTTTCTACCTGTAACCCTCCTCTAAAGGGTAAGTACACACTAGGTTCGGATACTCAACTCAGGGTCACTGAATTCTAGTATAGTGAATGGCACAACCAGAAGTTATTGATAACCACACAAATTACCATTTTGCATGAACTGTATTGAAGTAACAAATATAACACAATTGTTATCACAAGAACATCAATAAAGTGTGGTGCGCAATCAATGTATGTGTATCCTTCTTTTTTTCTTAAAGTTCCTCAGTCCAGTGTTTCAAATGACCAAAAAAATTGTTTCCTTTAGTGGAAATCAGTTCTGTTGTTTGGTTCCAAAAACAAGTGAAGCAAAATAAAAATAAAAGAATTCAACAAGAAAAATGTTCTATCCAATCCCAATCTGGAATTTAGGAGAAAGGGAAAAACTGCATTCAAGGGTCCACTGAGATCCTACCGCACAGTGTTATCACATGAGACATCCAGCAGCAATCGATGACTACATGGATTCAGCGATCAAGGGTGGTTGGCTCGCCGTCTTCCCTCCGGAAGAATTCAAATGCATACAAAAAACCTGGCCGAGATTCAAGTTCACACCTGACAAAATACAGCTTCAATCCAATGGTTCAAGTGTTCATGACGACCTCACTCATCTTTTTATAGTGATTATCAGTTTGCAATTTATGTAAATACAATGCATTTATAGAGAAATCAATTCAAACTTCCCTGCATCTCCACGACAGATCATTTCATCACCCTCTGCCAATACTCGCTCGCATCGCCCCAGCAAAAGGGCGGAGCTTCTAGTTTTTTCCACCAATAGCAAATTTCCATCTGCTAACACACTCTAGTTACCAGGCAGATTTCCTGATATCAGGTTTCACAGACCAAGGTGACTTAAAGGCACAATTAATAATAATGAGTTCATACAAATATGCCACAAAACCATTCATATTTTTCTTTTATAGGGATTTTGCTTAGGGGTTACATCCTCCCCCACTAAATTGACATGAGTCCCTCATGTATTTTAAATGATATGATACTCTGAAGATATAGTGTTCCTTGGAATCATGTTCTGACTGTCATTCAGAGTGTCAGCAAATGCTTTATGAAATCCTTCTAACAAAGTCTGTGCAAAGGAAATTAGGGGTTTCCCTAACTCTGGATAATGAAATACTCCGGGTGGTCTGCAAATTCTTCCCGATCTACGTACAGGACAATCTTCAGGACTCTCATCTGGTATACTCCTAACATCATCCCTTGGCTTACTGTGTTGCTTTTCAGAATCTTTGAGATCTACGCATTGCTCATTGGATGAATCAGGAACAAGTAAACTCTGCTCAGGTGATTCTCTAGATACTGTTTCTACTGTGCCCTCCATTGATGTCTCAGGCAAGTTGTATTCTTCACCTCTAGCTTCCAAGGAGTCATCTGAGTTCTGGAACTCGATTCCAATTCCCAACAAATTTTTGGCAACTGTGTCACCAGAAGAAATCTCTGTGAGTGTTTCACCAGGTGCTGATTGCTCTCCTGTGCTTGGGTCTTGACTAAGCTCACCTTGAGTAATCTCTCGTTTCAGGAAGGAACCCGCAGGGTAGGAGGTGATCGCGGTGCAACGTTTGTACAGGTCCATCTGCGTTTTCAGGCGTCACGGAATATACCGGTAAGTCTCCCATCCGTCTGATCACTACATAAATTGTAGATTCCCATCGGTCAGCGAGTTTGTGCTTGTCGTAAGTTCCGCACCAGTACTCTATCCTCTACCTCCAAGGTTGACTCCCTGATAACCTTATCAAAACGTTGCTTGTTCCTTCTGGCAACTTTCTTGGCATTTTCAATGGCAACGTCATAGCTGTGTTTAAGCCGTGACTTCAAATTCTTGACATATTGGGAATGACAATCTTTTTTAGAGTCTTGGACAGGTAACCCAAAAGCGATATCCACAGGCAACCTTGGCTGTCGCCCAAACATGAGCTTGTAGGGTGAAAACCCTGTAATATCATTTTTTGTACAGTTGTATGCATGTGTTAAGGGCTTCACATAGTCAAGCCAATGAGTCTTCTCTTTGTTCTGCAAAGTGCCCAGCATGCTGAGGAGAGTGCGATTAAATCGCTCTACTGGGTTTCCTCTGGGATGGTATGGGCTAGTTCTTACTTTCCGAATACCTGTGATGGCACACAACTCTTTTATGATGTGAGACTCAAAATCCCTTCCCTGGTCACTGTGCAGCCGTTCCGGAAAACCATAATGCACAAGGAATTGCTCCCACAAACACTTGGCAACAGTAGTGGCTTTTTGATCTCTTGTAGGAACGGCTACCGCATATTTTGTGAAATGGTCGGTAATGACGAGTATCTCTTTTGTGTTCTGGCTGTCTGGTTCCAGGAAAAGGAAATCCATGCACACCAATTATATTGGTCTCATTGTGCATATGTTTACAAGGGGAGCAGCTTTGTCTGGTTGTGTTTTTCTCTTTACACACCTCTCACATGTTTTTATCCTCCGCTCCACATCCAAGGACATTTTTGGCCAATAGAATCTTGACCTGACAAGGACATTTGTACGCTCGATTCCTAAATGGCCCATTTCATCATGGAGGCTGTGGAGAACAATGGGCCGCAAAACTTCAGGAAGTACGAGCTGGAATGCTGTCTGGCCATTGCACAGGCGCGTCCGGTACAAGAGCCCATCCCTAATTTGAAGGTGATTCCATTCCTTAAGAATCAACTGAAGATTAGGATCATCAGCTTTGAAATTCTTTGGCAAGTCTTGGCCAGATTTTAAGAGATTGAGTGCCTGACTAATGGCAGAATCTTCTCCTTGAAACCTCATTAGATCCGCTTCACTGTACTTTGGCAAAGATGAGATGCCACACTCAATTTCATGTTCTTCAAAGTTGATAGGAATGGCAGTAGGTTGAATGGCCAATGACTCTACATAGCCAAGGGAATGGTCGAGAGGGAAATTTTGATTGATAAGATGCCTTTGGCTTGCTGCCTGAACAGTTCCCATGTCAAGTTCATTCACAGGACTAGAGGATTCCAAAAGATGGGAAGTAAACCTCTTGATTTTCTGTCTCTCCTCTTTAGATGCAATATCGTCCTCCAGATCACCGTGGGGTCTTCTCGACAACCCATCAGCGTCCCCATTGTGTTTACCTGCCCTATACTTGATGTCAAAAGTGAATGTAGATAGAGCAGCAAGCCAGCGGTAGCTTGCTGCGTCAAGCTTGGCAGTTGTGAGAAGGTACGTTAACGGATTGTTATCAGTAACTACTGTGAAGTGACTGCCATATAAATAATCATGGAACTTCTGGACGATGGCCCATTTAAGGGCTAAAAATTCGAGCTTGTGAGCAGGGTATTTAGATTCACTTCGAGTCAGCCCTCGACTCGCATAAGCAATGACCCGAGGTTGCCCGTTCTGCTCTTGGTACAGGGCTGCGCCCAACCCTGTCGTGCTTGCGTCCGTATGTAATATATATGACAGCTTAGGATCAGCAAAGCCAAGAACAGGAGCAGTCACTAACTTATTGATTATCTCCTCGAATGCTGTCTGACACTCTGGGCTCCAGCATTCTGCAAAAGGCTCTTTTGTGTTTAAATACGTTTTGTCTCTAGCTGTTACCCTTCCCCCTTTCCGCTGAGGAGGATATCCAGCTGTGAGGTTAGTCAGGGGTTTGACGACTTTTGAGTAATCCTTTATGAAACGTCTATAATATCCTGAGAATCCAAGGAACGATCTAAGTTCCTTTAAATTCTGGGGTCTTGGCCAGGTTGTTAACGCTCAAATTTTCTCAGGATCTGTCCTTACGCCTTCTCTAGAGATAACATGTCCCAGGTAGCAGATGGATGTCTGAAAAAATTTGCACTTATCGGGAGACAACTTTAGTCCATAATCTCTTAGACGGTTAAGTACATGCAGGAGCCTGGTCTCGTGCTCTTCCAAAGTGTCGGAGTAGACAATCAAGTCATTTAAGAAGACAAGAACCTCCGTTAAATGGATGTCCTCCATACATTTTTCCATTAGGCATTGGAAAGTACTGGGAGCATTAGTTACCCCTTGAGGCATGCGATTAAACTCCCAGAAGCCTACAGGACATACAAAGGCCGTCTTGGCCTTGTCTTTTTCCTCCATCTCGACTTTATAGTATCCAGACTTTAAATCCATCACAGACAACCACTGTGATCCAGCAAGAGCAGAAAATGACTCTTCGAGATTTGGCAGCGCATAGGCATCTCGTATGGTTTGCATGTTCAATTTTCTATAGTCCACGCACAGCCGTACGCCACCATTCTTTTTGCGAACGATGACTATTGGGAATGCGAATGGACACTCAGATTCTCTAATTATTATATATAAGGTTTGCAAGTGTTTCTTTACTGCCTCGAAGTCCCGGGGCTGGATTGGTCGTGGTCGCTG